TGGGGAATTCTGGAAGTTGAAGTCCACTCATCTTAAAGTGGCCAGGTTTGGACAACACTGGCCTAGAACCACTTCAGTTCTTGGGCCAAACTCTGTTCTCTCTTGCTGGTTGACAGGATCCTGAAGAAATACAGAAGGGGTAACCTAAACAGGGTTGCTTGCAAACTTAAGAAAGAGTCAACTTTCTTACAGTTAAAGGAAATGTAGCTTATAAAAGGATATTGTCTTTTTTCTGGAACTCAGAGTAATGATCGAGGATGAAAACAGCCATAGAGGAACATCATTCGGTCCTGTGTTTTCCCTGGACCATTTTTCTGATTTTCCCCTAAACGTGTGTACAGCACTGTGAAACCTCCTTGTGTTTGGGGTGGAAAAATCTACCCAGCGATCAATAAAAATTGCAAATGAGTTTCCAGTTTCTGAGTTAGTCCATTACCTGGCAACCGAGAAATATTTCTCCTTGGTTGACCCATAGAGAGGAAAACATAAAGGGAAGACAGGAACTTGATTAAAATGTGGAAGTCGGAAGATAGACTCCAGGGTTTTAATTTCCTCCTTTATGTTCTTCCATAAACTAGTAGGCAAACCATGTTTTATGCTTCCCTGTTACAAGGCTTGTATTCTTTTATACTTTTTGATATCCCGTTGTTAATTGCACTGTTAAATTTTAGATTGTTTATGAGAAAAACAATCATTCTTCTAATTATTGGTGCTAATTTACTGTTGGCGTGTTCTGTCAACTGGCTCTTCTCTCCCCGGCCTTTGTATCCACCTTGGGCAGTAGGGCGAAAAGAGGAATAGGGAGCTCTCACAGAGTTGGTTTGCTCTGAGAAGAGCAAAAAGATCCCTAAGGAAATTGTTACAGTGCAAAGCTCATTTGTCCCACTGCTGCCAGGCAGGTGAAGCGTTTTAGTCAGTGGTGTCTGCCGGGGTGGTCAAAAAAGTCAAGATGGCAGCCGTGACACTGTGATTGAAGCTCCACCTGTTTTTTACGTGCATCGCAAAGCTTTGATCATGTTATAGTGGCCACCATCTTGACTTGGTCGACCATACCCTACGGACACCCCTGTTTTTAGGAGTCACGTGATAGCGGTTGGCGACGCAGAACGTAAGGCCACTTGGCGTAGGAAGAAAAAAAAAATTTTTTTTTTAAAGGAATATAAAAGAGATAGTGGAGTTTGGTCTTTAAAGTAGCTAAAAGTATTTTGAGAGATCTCCAGAAAGAATAGGTCGGAGAAAGGGTGTAATTCCCCTGGAGTTGTAGGAGGGCTGGTCTAATCTTGGTAAGAAAGAAACCTTGAATGACTTAGGAATATGGGGGATGAGGATAGTAATATTGGCAATAATTGAGTAATAGTGACATTGTGCAATAAGGAACATGTGTTCTGTTCCGTTAAGGCAGTGTTGTCCAAACTTGGCCACTTTAAGATGAGTGGACTTCAACTCCCAGAATTCCCCAGCCAGCCATGGCTGGCTGGGGAATTCTGGGAGTTGAAGTCCACTCATCTTAAAGTGGCCAAGTTTGGACAACACTGGCTTAGGCAGAAAAGCAGGATCCCAAGGAGAGAAAGGGGGGAGCTGGCATGGGGGTCCTCTCCCAACCACCCTCCATCCGCATTTAAAGAATTGGCAGAGATTAAATTTTTTCAAGTTTAAATGGTGCTCCGAAGTAGAAAGGAAGCCCGGGCCCTTGTTTTAAGAATGATAAGACCTATGGATATAAGAATAGCCATAATATAATATCCTAAGAGAATGGGGCAGTCCTAGCAGCCATTGCGGGTGAGGCTGTCATGCCCAGCTCTCCCATTCCTCACAACAACAGCCCTGTGAGGTGGGTTGGGCTGAGAGAGAAGGACTGGCCCAAAGTCACCCAGCCGGCTTTCGTGCCTAAGGCAGGACTAGAAGTCACCGTTTCCTGCTTTCTAGCCCAGAGCCTTTCATTTTAGAGAGGCTTTTATTTTATAATTATATTTGCAAATTTAATAATTTTTTTTTTCAAAGAAACAGTCTGGATGGAAGTCTGAGCTGACGACACACGCATCTGGGGAATAATTGCACCTACTGTATGGCCGTGAAAGCAGCAAGCGGTTTATTTTGTGATCTTTATGGCATCCTTGAGCAGAGATGTTTATGAGTTGCACAAAAATGATTGACGGCGATTCTGCAAAATGTTATTTTACCTTCCTCAGAGGAGCACATTCGCAGGGTACTTTAAGGCTAAAACAGCTTATCTCCGTAAAAACTTAAGTACTCCCATTGTTACCGATTTAGTTGAGACAAAATGCACCGTTTGGTGGGATCATCTGAAAATCTTTTACTGCTTAAGGATGTGCAAGGCTGCCGTGGCAGTTCACCGGCCACCTGTGTGATCCTTGCTCAGAATGACCACTTTGAACTAACCGAAGAGGACTGCCTAGGTGTGAATGCATTTTGCGCAAGGAGGCTGCCCTGAGCAAGACAGTGATAGGATTAGCCTTGAAAAAGAACTTCTCTGAACCCAGAGGATTTCAGGACTTCTCCGTCCATCTGCAAACCAGCTGCAGGTGTTCTTGGAGGAAGAATTCTCCAAGAATTTCTTGGAGGAATTCAGAGCCATTCCAACCTGGATTCTAGACAGACTATGGCACGAAAGGGAGGCCAGTGTTACGCAATAGATCTGTTCCTGTTTGTTGGAGAGGTTCCTTCAGTGGTTCAGTGGCCCAACCCCTGGTCGTCTTCTTCCCCCAAAGTACTACTAATGAATGCTATTTCATTATCTTTTTATTGGCTGTATGCATTTAGTTTAAAAGCTTCAGCAGAGCCGTTGAGGGGCACAATAGGACGCTTGGAGCAATGATATCCAGTTCTGTTTCTCTCTGACATCTGGCTCAGGAGAAGCTGTGCTGACCCAAACCATGCTCAGTCCAACCGTGACATGCCTGTCCATCTAATCAGAACCCCAGTGAGAAGAGAGGGCTGCGACTGGGCGAGTCCTAGGTCTGGAAAAGAAGGGAAGTGTCTGTTCTGGAGAGGGGTGTGCTTTTCCAGAAAAGCTTTGGAGGTGTTCATCCTCGTCCCTCTCCCAGGCTCCCATCTTCAGGGGAAGTCCTGGTCTCTGGGCTGCAGCTTGTGGGTTGCCACAAGTCATTAAAGGAATGAATGTGCAGTCTCCTGACTTATGGTGACAATATTACTGTATGTAATAAAACATATATGTCCAATTTTCTTTTAGCTAGATTGAAAATGTCACCATAAGTCAAGAACATGCTGGAAGAATGCAGTGGTGAACCACTTCCGGGAAAACTACCCGGAGAAGTCCAGGAAGTTACTAGAAGTCAAGCTTGGCTCAAAGGAAATGTTATCCTTACCTTTTAAAATCCAATTAAACGATGGATATATTCTTTCTGTCTTCAGTACTCTCTTATGTCAAAACAGACAAACGGAGAGAACTGTATCTCGGTCTCCAGGGCTGAGCCGCTACCGTTTAGGAGGAAAGTCAACGCATTCTGGTGAAGAAGTCAACAGACAAACAGTCCCCCTGTTATTTGGTGTCTTTCAGGAGCTGCAGTTTTAACAACGTGAACATGGACTGCGAAAGGACTCTGGAGATTAAACATTGTAAGTTCCCAGTGTTTGGAAAAAAATGCACAGTTAGGTTGGCCACTGACGTGCATTTACATGTGAGTAAATCTCATAGAAGAGAGTACGTTGGAGCATACACAATTCGGATGGCCCTAGAAATGACTTACTGAAGAGCTAGAAAGCCAACGTAGGATTTTAAAACATGTTGTTTGGTGAAAATCTCAGTGTCTTAAACCCAGGCCTGGTCGATGTGGAGTAAGACCCTGAAATCACCTTAGAAAGCCTAAGTATGTCTGAATCCAACCTATTATTTTTAATTATTTTTAAACTTCTTGTGATGGACAATATATTAGAAAACTCGAAAATGTTGGCTATATTTTTATATTCTGAGTGAACACATATTTTGATATTTCTATGGAAAATTGCAATATGAAAGCTTTTCATAAGCTTTTTTCATAAGCTTTTATTTCATAAGCTTTTTTTCACTGAAAAGCTTACACCCCTAATGAAAGTTGGTGCAAATAACTGAAGAGTTGAGTGCACTCCCACTCTGGATCTCAACCTGTATAAGAAATGTGGTCAAATACGGAAAAGTAGTTAAAAATCAGTTTTAAAACATTCAAAAGTGGGAATTATATATTTGTACCTGTACCAAAGAAAGTTGGAAGTGACCTTTTTTCTTTTTTTTTTCTTTTCTGCACCTTAATTTTGTTCTTTTTTGGATCTTCCCTTTTTTTTCAACCCTTTTTTTTCTGTTTCATATTTTATCTTTGGCTGAAATTTGATGAAGTTCTTATTTTAAAAAGTGGGAATGATGGAGGAATTTGAAAAAAGCGATGAGTGAAAATCATGATCATGACATCTGTTTGTGGAATTTGCACTGTTTTATTGAAAATGTCTGAAAAACATGAAGTTTGAAAAATAAGTAACCAAAGTCTCTATGAAGTCAACAAATGGATGGGTTTTGTTGTTACTGATAGATAAAGATCCCTGGAGAATATGCACTTTTGTTGATGTTTGCAGAGCTGAAATAATTGTGGGCTGATTGGAAAACTATAGAAACACTGACAAAAGTCAGTATGCTAAGAAAATGAAATTAGGAATATGAATCACTTTAGTGATATTGAGGTAATTGAAATAATACGTTGAGTAATATATTCAGTTTATTAATTTTTTTAGGGAAGAATCATGAAAGGGAAATGCACTTGGGATACTTATTATCTGGATCCAGGTCACATTTTTAGTTACAGCTCTAGCCATTTCAGATAATTCATGGGTTTATCAGGATCATTCAAACATAGAAAAAAAGGCGTCCTATAGATCTTTTGGAATCCATACTTATCTGTACACTCTTCATACATAGTCATATAGTCAGTTGGAACAATGATGTAAACATTTACTAATACGTGGAGGAGAGGGGAAAATAAAATTAAATAATTGCGTTTGCAAAACGTTGAAATGCAACATACAATTTCTAAGCCGCAATGCCTTGTTCGATAGATTTGTGATGAAGCCTCCTAACCATTGGGACATGTTTTAGCGTGTGTTCTTCGACGGGTTTGTTTTCTTCCTTGCGTGTAGATAGATTCATCAACTTGCTGAGCTGGAGAGATTTGTAATGAGATATTTCAGCTGTTAGCATTTATCTTCCTCTCATAAATTTCCGCGTGACATTAAATAAGACGTATCCCGAGCAGATTAACTGTCAAACACTTGTATCCATGTCATTTTTTTCAGCCTGCTTTTACACTTTCAGGATTCGGGAGGGGAGATTGCACAGCGTAGGATAAGCCAGGGATGTTTTCAGCCAATAGGAAGAGATGATTCTGTGAAAGAGGAGCATCGCTGCGGAGAGCAAGCATGGCTTTTGCCCAGTCACACATTATGACGGCTAGAAGGCATCAGCACAGTCGACTCATCATTGAAGTGGACGAGTACAGCGCCAACCCAACGCAGGCGTTCACGTTCTACAACATTAACCAGGGACGTTTCCAGCCCCCTCATGTGCAAATGTAAGTATTACCATTCTGTTCTTGCTCTGACACAGATTACTGAATGGTTATTGCTGGGTCAATGGGATATTTCATGGACCAGTCGCAACTCCGTGACTCTCGAGAATAGTTCTTGGGCGAAATAAGGATTTTCATTAATACATGCCAAGGATAACCCAGCGTGCACGCATTTACACGTTCCATAAAGTAGCAACAGGCAGTGGAGCCCATGGAGAATTGCAGCAACATTTGCTAACCCGACTGGATTTTTTGTTTTAACGCGATGTCTGTTTTAGAGCAAAAGGACTGTTACGGTTTGGCTAGAGATTCAAGAGGTCTGCACAGACGGAAGAATGGCAGAGCTAATGAAATCATAGGGGCGCCCATCTGAAAGAGCTTGCTTTAGTTCAGACGCAGTGTGAATAGCACAGGATATTAAGATGTAATTAAATTAACATGTTTGTTTTTTTACTTTTTGGTAGAGTGAAAACATCTGTAAAGGTAATTGCTCTTGAAGGTGATTTACTTTTGATGTAACAACAAGGAGTATAACTGCAAAGCAAAAACTATTAAAAGTTGAGAGACGGAAGGGAAAGAAAAATATTTAACTATACCAACTAAATTCAGTATTAAAATGGAAGGTTAAATATTTTCTAAGAAATAAAAAATGTATAGCATTTTTTTTCTTTCAGATAGAAGACAGTTCTGTTTAATTTCATATAAATCATGCTTCCCCCCCCCCCCCAATTTCATATGTAGTACATGACATGCAAGCTACAATAATCAGGCCAGGCAAAGATATAATTTACTATTATCTCAAAATTGAAACTGAACCATGGATTTGTATCCACTTTTCTTCTTGTCCATTATCTATGTTCATCTGCCACTCAATCTCAAGGATTGAGAAATAGGTAAATGTACTTTGCAGACACCACTGGCATTAGCCAGGTATCTGCATTGGACCATTGATTTATTTTGCTATATGTTTGTTAGAAACCTTATTCTCTGTTACTCCTATTTTGTCTGCGCTTGTAGAACATTTTGGGTAACTTCAGGCTGTTTTCCATAAGATTTACCTTTATTTATTTTTAAGATGAAATCTAATTTTGAAGCAAAGATTGTACCCTAGCTCTCTAATTCCAGCAAACCTGTACCATCTTTTGGTCTGCAGAGAACACTGTATTTTTGTAAATTAGCTTTCATGTATCCTATCTTGCAGTTTTTTTGTTTAAATCATGTTTGATTTTATTTATCTCTTGTGAGATTGATTTATCTTCAAAAGAGAAAGGTCTGAAACCCCTAGCTACACAGCTTTAGGCTGCAGGTTCAGGAAGTTGCTACAGAAAAAAAATCATTTTTGCTCTTTTATTTGCCAGAAAGGCAGTACAGAATTATGGGGCTGAAGTGTGTAGTCCCAGTAGGCTTCTGGGACTGGTTTGAAAACTCCAGCTTCTCACCCTACAGGCTGAGCTGTGCCTTTACAATATGTATCCATCTATTTCTACACTGAATCATGAAAATGTCACTTTTTGTTCTATGCAGGAAACATGAAACTCTCTAACGGAGTGTTTCTACAATCCTGGCGAGTTTAAGATGGGTGGACTTCAACTCCCAGAATTCTCCAGCCAGCCATGCTGGCTGGGGAATTCTGGGAGTTGAAGTCCACCCATCTTAAACTCGCCAAGGTTGAGAAACACTGCTGTAAGGGGAAAAAAAATGATTCTAATGTATTATTTTAGACAGTTACTTTAAAATGTTCAGATTTATGGAAATAGTAACATTCCTAATTGGTTGCATCTTACTTATATTTACCAAAACTTTACCCATTTCGTTGTACTAGAAAATAAAGATTAGTACTTGAGTCAAAAGTATCTAACAGTAGATATTTTAGGATGGGATGTGTGTAACCTGTACATGTGTGGCACAAATTTTGGGGATGTGGGGAGGGGCCCTGCTTTTATTGATATCTTTCAATGAAGCCCCTTTGACTAAACAGTTAAGGTTCCTATTTATGAAACGCCTCACTTTTTTTTGGTGGATACAGCTAACCATTTACTAACGAACTAAATAAACATGATTGGTACATGAGTCATCAAAAACTATTTGTCTTGAGTTTCTTCAGACTGAAAAAAACTTTAAACATTTATACAGCTTTCACTGGTGTGTCATGCAGTATTAATGGAGCACGACAGTCAGGCCCTGCAGATTGTTGCCTCTAAAAACTAGTTTTGCTCATAAGCTACAACTGGTATTTTTAAATTGTATATACAGTTTAAAATATTTAAAGGCAATCTGCAGATGAACGTCTTTAGGCATAAACCCTTACTCAGAAAGTGCCATTTATTAGGAAGTATTTAAAATTAAAATTAAAAATAGTTATAAAGTAAAACATAATACTTCTCGCCTATTTTGTCTAACAATTCGGGAAACCTCCTGGAGTTGAACGATGCATTACTAATCTGAGTATTTAACTTGCTTTTTCATAGATGCTGAAAACAGACTTTATATCGGAGCTGTAAACTAGATATGTGAATAACATAAAACATCTATATTTTGTAATTGTGTCTCAATACTTTACACGTAGGGTAGATCCTGTTCCACATGATGCTCCCAGACCTCCAGGATACACCCGTTTTGTTTGTGTGTCTGATACTCACTCCAGAACAGATCCAATTCAAATGCCATATGGAGATGTTTTAATTCATGCTGGTGATTTCACTGAACTGGGACTTCCTAGTGAAGTTAAAAAATTCAACGAATGGTTAGGTGAGTATCATGTAACAAATACTTTTGAAAGTCTGTTCCGCTTGATCAATGTCTAAAACCACAGCTGTGCTTCTTAATTTTTTGGAGGATCGTATCAATTTTGCCTTGTCTTAGACAACAATCCATACTGTAAGTTAAATACTTGTTGTAGGGACCTCAACAGCTGGAAGAAGCCATGTTTAGCTACCCTCTCTTCCCTTTAGAACGTTAAACCTAAATAAGGTTTTCATGCAGCATCTTTTATCCAAAACTTAGGAGTGGAACCTGTAATGATTTGTGTAAGAGCTCTTGTGCATATTCTTTTCCTCTCTTAAGGGGGAAGGTTCTTAATTTTTCTGTCTGAGGCTCAGCTGGGCCACAGCCCTAAAACTAAAACAAAGAAGCACGTGCTTTGCTCACTTTGGAAGCGATGCCTGGCAGTATTCACCGAAATTCTGTTCCATCAGGTAATGTGATGGAATGGAATTAGGAAGGCCAGGCTCAGGGAGATAAGCGTTTTCTTAGCTCACCGAAAGAGCGTGGGAACTACAAGAGGATGAGGCTGGCAGCTCCCTGAGGAATTCACGGTGTTGTGGCTGGCTGACTTTGGGAGCTGGGGTTTCAGTCTGGTGAGATTTCTGTCTTGAGGTTGAAGCTAATAAACATAGCTGAACTGATTTTGCACTGTCTCTTGGAGTTCTTTGGGCTAAACCTGACAGGTAAGCAGGTAGGAGTGACTTTCCTTCACTCCTGTGTGCTTTATAATAACCTGGAAATAAAATCGTTATTAAAAAATCAAATAAAAACCCGCTTGCCTTACCAACTTTGCCATGAACTAGAACCTATTTTGACTCCCGCTTGAAGATAAAAATAATAATAATAAAGGAAAACGGAGGTTACTCACATGGTATCAACTAGACTAGCCTTGACCCAACACATTGGATAATGAGTTTGTGCCATCCTAGAATTATAGAGTGAAAAAGGACCATTTAGGCATCGCATTTAGTCCGTTGCTCAGTGCTGGAATCCAAATGCAAACAGCCTTGGTGTCTAGGCCCTGATTGTAATGGTTCCACTGTGTGACTGTTCTTACTGTTAAGGAATCTTTTCTCTAACGTTCAGTCATCATCTACCTTCTTGTAACTTGACTGAAGTTATTCTACACCCTAACTTCTGGAAGGAGAAAGACATATTTTTAAGACTTATCCCATGTCCTGATCATCCCTGGGAATTTTTCTCACAGTGTGGTGCCCAACTCTTGGCAAAGTAGTTGATCAGGTCTGACCAGGTCTTCAGATCAGGTCTGACCAGGTTCTGACTGTAAGTGAAACTATTCCCATGATTTTAAAACTAAACTCGATAATTATGCATTTCTTTTTAACAGACACTTCTTATACTCGTATATACTTATATATATATACTTATATACTTATACTTGTACTCAGCTTATGAATAACTGTAATGCTTTTCACATAATCTGTTATCAAGCCAGAGAACTCCCGCTGTGCATCTGGTTTCTTTTTTCCAAATGAAGAGTTTGATGAGCCTCGATTAAATTGCCTTCTGTTATCCTCATGCCACTTTTCCAACCTGTTAAAATCATTTTTAATTTTCTTTTTGCCTTCTGGAGCAGAGGTTCTTGACTTTTTTGCACCATGCACTCCTTTGAGAATCTGGGGAAACCTATGGACTCCTTCTCAGAAAAATGTATTTAAATGCATAAAATAAAACACAGATACAAACTGTATTACAAGGAAACCAATTATGCTCAAATACAGTTATCAAATTATTAAAAAATAACAAATATTTAATATAGTAATATATGTGTTTCTTTATTAATCCATTAAATCCATCAATGCAATACCCTTTTTTATGGTATAATAATTTTTGATCGTGAGATTCATTGAAGTTAGTACACCTTTCTAGAGTCTAGGGGCCATAAATTATTGTTGCACACATTATTGAATGAAAAGCTAAACTTCAGTTAGAGGTTAGTGAAAATAAAGTTGTAGTCTATTTATCTTCCAAGTTCACAGACCCCCGTCAAATCTGTCTGTGGTCCCCAAGGATTTATCAGTGGACTCCAGATTAAGAACCTGTTCTGGGGTATTAGCTATCCTATCCAGTATTCAGTCATCTGCAAATGTGAAAAACTCATCACCTCTTTATCCGAGTCATGAATTAAAATGTAACATATAGTATACGTTTTGGGGCATCCCATTTGATACCTCCCTTCAGTTGAATTAGAGACCATTGATGAGCACTTTTGAGTACAATTTTCAAGACAGCTATGTATCCATTTAATCACCATGCCTTCCAATTCACACTTAACAAGTTTACTCTCATTCAGAAGAATCCTCAAATGGAGCAGGTGGAATAACAGGGCTCAGATAATCTGATAGACTTTCAGGGTTGAGGCTGGAAGAAGCAGTGGTGTCAAAAGGAATCAGTAGGCGAGGAAGAATTGCTAGAGTCTTCTACCCTTCTCTGGGTCCTACGAACTGTAAAACAATGGAAGTTCTAGAGGCAAAATGGTGGGAGTAGACATAGATTTGCAAGATGAAGAACTTTGACTTTCAATTTCAGTCAGTTGTGGAACCCGAAGGTAAAGCCTCAATGGTGCCAGTTAAGTCTGGACCTTGGACTTCTCTAGGTTCATGTCCCACTTCACTACTGACCCACCCAGCAATCTTGGGGAAGTAAAATAAAACTCCCTTTTAGCCCCTTATAGTCATAAAGGTTGGAAAGCAAATCACTCATCAGAAATTCTTAGCACATCCAGAAATTCTATAGCTGCTGACTGGCCTGCAAACCTCTTCTCTTATCGAAAGACAGAAGATCGCAGGAAAGAGGAAAAAACTTCTCATGCAAGAAATGTCAGTGAAGTTTCTTTGCAATTTACAGCTTGAACCAGAAGGTCAGGGTAAATCATCAATTTACATCCTTTGTATTCCAGCAGAGGGGTCTGCCTTGAAAGCTGCATGATATGATCACGAATGTAAGACCTTAGGAAATTAATTGGAGCCAATCAATGTAAAATGTAATCTACACTTGTATTTTAAGTCTGAATCTTAATCTTAATCTTGCATCTTGTATTTTAAGTCTGAAATTAAGTGGAAAAAATCTTTTAAGCAGTTTCCCCAATGAAACATAGAGGTATCTATAGATAAATTTATTACCTTTAAATTATTTTTCATGAATTGCGCTTGAACTGAGTGTTTCAGTTTGCAAATCTGTAATTATTTTAACATGAGATTGCTCCTTTGCTACTAAATTCTTCAAGTTGGTTTCATGAGAAAGAACAAAGTTTTCTTCAAAATATCTAAATTCTTCTGAAACTTGGACATTTGACTTTTAAAACTTTTCAATACCTTGTGAATATTCAATATTTCAATACCTTGTGAATCCCTGTTAAGCCAGTTTGGAAACCCCCGATTGTACAACCCTCTGATTGTAAACATCAGAGTTTTTACAATTTAACATACAATTTAATGAGAATTGGATGGCATAACAGATATCTAAAGGAAAAGTGAATGGATTGAGAAGAAGGGGAAGACCAAGAAAGTCATGGAAGGATAGGGTTGATAAAATCTCAGAAAGAGAGAAATGAGAAGTTTGCAGAGCAAAAGGCAATTTATGAAGTGGTGTATGAACATAGTGGAGCAAGAATAGTTTGCAAGGGTAAAAAGGTATGGAGAAGCATAGCGAGTGGTGTTTAATCTCATCTTTTTTATTTCCCAAACTATTAGAATATAGATGGCAAAGGCCATGAACTTCCTAAGTCATAAGACAAGTCATCATTCTTCTGCTTGATTTTAGGTTGAATAGTTGAATAGGTCCTAGCTAGTTACTCTCTCATACCTGCACAAATCCTTTTCTGAAGCTCTTCATTTGGGGTTTTTGTCTACCTCCCCATCCGAAATTCAGTTTAAAGCTTTCCAACTAACGTTCAACAATGAAATCTCTTCCATCCTTGGAGCCAGTCATTCATGAGCAGTATTCTTCCTCCTTATCCAGTCCTCTTCCATGGACTAGAAGCTGGATAAAAAACAATAACAATTCCGCCTGAGCCCGCAGGTTCTTCACCTTCCTTTCTAGATCTTCAAAATCAGAGGTGATACAATTGTAGCTGTTCTTGGTGATAAACTTGAGTGAATATCTGCCAGTTGGCTTGACAGGTCATGCCAGCTGTTCTCTCTCTCACATAGCATAGCTGTGCTCTCAGGAGAAACACTTCATTAAACAGTGGATCTGGCCAGCACATATTAGTTTCTGTTGCTCATGGAGTTACCAGTTACTACAACTCTTTTTCTTCTTGCAGGTAGCAATTTTATCTCCTCTGCAATTCAGGCTTCTAGGCTCTTATCTTCTGTTTAGCCTGGTCTCTTATCCCTTTCCTGGAGCCCTCTTCTGTGACAGCCCAAACGTATTTCTGAGTTCCAGTTATCAAACAAATCAGTCAAATTTGCCAGGGTCACCCTTCGTTTGATTCACTTCCTTGGGGAGAACTGCTTCTCTGTTTTCTGCTCCTGTAGTGATTTCTTTGTTTAATAAATCTTCATCCTCTCTTTTGACCGAGCGTGCCACTTGCTGTTCCAGTCCTCTTGACTTTTTTCTCCAAGCACTGCTATAAGCTTCCTCTTGCTTCCAATATATGCTGCACGTTGTAACATTGCAGATCATGATTACAGAATCTTGTCTCTTCATGTTCATATTTCTTTCTTAAAGCATCATAGATAGAAAAGCTTTCATTTCCTCTTGTTTCCTTCCCAGGATCTAAGGTTAGTCAAGAATATTCTGTTGACTTAGAGGAAAAATTCATTAGGGACCTTCTCTTTTGAAGTTCTGTTGGCTCTGAACAATGGAGGAACTCAACTGAATTTACTCAGTTGAGTTCCTCCATTGCTTCAGTAGTCTCTGAAATTCAGCAGGAAGGAACGATTCAGTCTGCCATAATTGGCCATCAGCAGCTCTTCACCTTTCTTGCAAGAATGGTTCTTGAGTCAGCAGCTCTTCACCTT